GTATAAATTCAACATTTTTTTTAGTATTTCTTTGGATATTCTAGGTATTTTGCATTTCCAAATACATTTTTTGATTATGTTGTTATTTTCTATTTTAAAAAGCCAACTGGGTTCAGTGACACATGGCCAAGAGTCCCAGCTACTCCAAGCTGAGGAGAAATGATTCCTTGAGCCCAGGAGTTTAAGACCAACCTGGTCAATATGGATGCCATTAAAAAAAGAATTGAAATTGTATATGTAGATCTATTTGGGGAGAAATTACATTTTAAAAATATTGAGTCTGCTGATCCATGAGCATGATGTATTTCTCCATTTACTGAAGTATTCTTTAATTTTTAGGAGTAAGCATTTATGGTTTTTATTGTTTTACATGTATCTTGTTAACTTTAAATTTATCCTGAAGTTGTTCATATTTTTTGGATGCCTTTATGAATAGTACTTTTAAAAATTTCAATTTTGAATTTTACATTGACTTTATGATAGTAATTTTCAAAATTTCAAATTTGAGCTTTACATTGCTTATATGTAGATATACAATTGATTCTTGCACATTGTTCTTGTATTCTGTATCTTGGCTAAATTCACTTGGTTCAGATAATTTTTTGTATAGATTCCTTAGTATTATCTACATACCTGACCTTGTCTATGGTAAACAATTTTCCTTTGCCATTTTTACCTGGATGATTTTGTTTTCTTTCAAATCTTGTGTTGGCTTGAACCTCCTGTACAGTATTGAATACAAATGGTGAGAGTGGATGACTTTGTCTTTTTCCTGGCCTCTGAGGGAAAATGTTCAACCTTTTACAATTAAGTATGATGTTAGCTAGAAGGGTCTTTATAATTTTTTTTTTTTTTTTTAAGTTTTAGATGGATACAATACCTTTGTTTTATTTATTTTTATGTGGTGTTGAGGATCGTAGAATCTAGGCAATTTTTTCTACCACTAAGCCACACAACCCCAGCCCTATAAGGTCTTATATGTGCCCTCATGTGAGGAAGTTCTCTGCTGGAAGTTTTTATCATGAATGGGTATAAAATTTTGTCAAAGATTTTTTTTAGCATCAATTGAAATAATCATGATGTTTCCCCATGAATTGTGTTAATATAGTGGATTGAATTAATTTTTTAAAATGTTATATCAACCTTTCATTTCCTGTAGTAAACCTCATTGAATCTTGATATAGTATCCTTTTTGTGTATTATTTGATTCAATTTGTTAATGTCTTTCAAGGATTTTTTTTCCCCTCCTGTGTATTCATGATGTTGGTTTGAAGTTTTCTTTGTAATTTTGTCTTTTTTTTTTTTTTTTTTTGTTAACCTAAAATAGAACTCATTAAATAAGTGGAGGAGTATTCAGTTTTCTACTTTCTAAAAGAATTTATATAGATTTGATATTGTTTCTTAATAAATGTTTGATAGATTCACCTGTGAAACCATTTGGACTAAAGTTTTCTTTGAGGAAAGTTTCTGAAGACAATTTCTTAAGTAGTTACAGGGCTAATAAGATTTTCTATTTTATATACATTTTAGTAAGTTGTATTTTTCATGGAATTTGCTATTTGACTTAAGGTTTTTTAAAAAAATTTGTTGGCATAAAATTAGACTCAATAGTTAAAGAATTTGTACTAATATTTCCACTTTCATTTCTGGTATTGGTAGTTTATATCTTCGTTTTGTCTTTAACATAGTCTTATATTTGGAAAAGCAGTTTTAATAAACAAATGAAAATATAAGATAAAGTACTGTTACTTAAATAAGTTGTAACCTTATATTGCTTGACCATTTTTACATCTAAATAAGTCATTGCTTACTAGCTTTGGTAAATACATGATAGTCATCTATACAGAGGCAGAAAGCATAAAATATGAGAAAGGAAACACTGTTAATGGCAATTCTAGTAACTCAACAAATGTTTCATAATTACTAGCTCTTCTAATGGTGGAAAACTACCAAGTGTAGTCCCTGAGAAGTCAAGTAGACACCCTGGTTCTGATTGGGTTTTTGTTGTGGGGGGTGGCTACTGGGGATTCAATTCTGGGGCACTTAACCTCTGAGCCACATCCCCAGCTCTATTTTGTACATTATTTAGAGACGGGGTTTCAATGAGTTGCTTAGTGCCTCACTTTTGCTGAAGCTGGCTTTGAACTTGCCATTCTCCTGCCTCAGCCTTCTGAGCCACTTTGATTACAGGAATGTGCCACTGTGCTGGCTCTATCTTCTAATTTTTTTTTAAAATATTTATCTTTTAGCTTTAGGTGGACACAATATCTTTATTTTGTTTTTATGTGGTGCTGAGAATCGAACCTAGTGCCTCACGCATGCCAGGTGAGCGTGCTACCACTTGAGCTACATCCTCAGCCCCTCTGTCTTCTAACTGTTGATGCAGGATAACAATGTCAGGGCAGTCCCTAGTAATGGTACATTAAGAAGCTAGATTCCTTCCTTCTGGTCATTGATTTCATCGCAGTATTTAATAATAGTGTAATATGACTACAGTTAATAGGCTATGCATATAAATATTGATCTGCTGAAGAATGTTTAGTATAATAACAGCTTTGCTTTATACAGTAGTACATTTTCATCTAAAGTTTTGGCATTAAATAAAAATTTTGTTTTTAAAAATTAATTTAACTAGGGCTGGGGAAGTGGCCAGTGATAGAATGCTTGCCTAGCATTTATAAGCCCTGGGTTCAATCCCCAGTAAAATACATATCATTCTAGCTAGAGTTTTCTTAATTTCATCAGTTTGTTCCAAAGTTCCAGCTTTTGGTTTACTGGTTTTCTGTTTTATGTCTCATTACTTTTCAGGTCCTTATTATACCTTTCCTCTATCTACTTTGGGTTTACTTTGTTTTCTACAAAGAAAAGGTTGAAGATTGATAAATTTGACTCAGTCACTTTTTTTTTTTTTTTAAGTTGCCTGGCAAAACCCAAAGTGGACAGAATCAAAATTCAGCTGTCAAACTGTGTAAAATACTTAGAACATATATCATAGAGGGCTGGTATCCTTTATGTATAACAAGGATGAAGGACCAAGACCTAATAAAAAAATTGAGAAAGTTATCACTAATGCACACGGATACGATATAAAGATGTCCCTCAAACATATGAAAAAATATGAAATTCATAATTTGAGCAATTGCCGCAGTCCGGCTGCAGCAAGCCGGCTGTAGCGCCCGGGCAAGCAATAATAAAATAATACTGAGATACCATTTCTTGCTTATCAGATTGGCAAAAATTTAAAGTCTGGCTACAGATTCTTTTATACACATGGATTTTTGGCTCACTGTCCACATGGTTCCCTGTTCTTTGGTTTGTGATGCCCTCACATCCTAGATATTTTGGCTTTCTCAGGCTCTAGATTTTGTCTCCTTAGCCCTGAAGACTTCTGATTTCTATTCCTGTGAATTAGCACATGTTCTTAAAAGAAAAGGCCATGGTGAATGTGGAGCTCACTTTTTTCAGCTTCGTTTCTATTAGGGATAATAGCGCCATGAGATTCTGCCGTACTGGTTGTTATCGAGTGGCTTTTAGCAGTTGTTTTATGTATTTTTGTCTTTTACATTGATTTTGATGTGAGACTTAAGTCTGATGTAAGATATGTTGCCATGGCTGGTCTGAAATCTGTGTGGGTGCATTAAAAAAAAGTTTGTTTTCGTGTCAAATTCACATAAAAAATAGTTATTTAAAAGTAAACATTTCAGTGGTGTTTTAATTACATTCACAATAGTGTGAGTTTTTAATTTATATAAATGATAGAACAGTGTAGCTTTTGTTCTGATTTCTACTTAATTATATGTCCTAATATTTTTTCGCTATTGTGTTTCTGTTAATCACTTTTAACTGTGGTACAATGTGAATTTCACTTTTCTATGCCTCTTGATAGACATCTACTATTTTTGTAGCTTGCCTCTATCTAGATTTATGTGTGGCAGTTAATAATAATTTATTCTTGATAAGATTTCCCCCACTAACATGGATTTTGTAGGGCCTTTTTAAAGAAATGTGATTCCAAAAATTTCTGGTTTGATTGATTTCTGTGATCTGGAGTAATTGACACTTGAGTAATTGAATGGCTGGACTTTGGGGAATAATTATAGAGCTTAAATTTCTTCCCATGATCCATTTTGGCACCAGTCTGATTTCTTGAGCAAATCTAAACATCTCTTAACACCAAATTTTGCCAGATAAATAATTGGAAGCACTTTTCCCTCTACTTTTTGATGTCGTAGTTAAATATATATGAAAAAATTGGGTGGTAGATCCTTTCTGCCATCCCTGTTAGGGACAGTATTCTGCAATTCACTGAAAGTCTGTTACTTCTGTTAATGTTAGAGTAGTTAGTAACTGAATTAAAAATTTAGGTTTTGCAAACTGCTTTACTGACTATTAGCTTTATGATTTTGGGCAAGTTACAGAACCTCTCAGAGCCTTGCTTCTAGATCTTCATGATGAGGATAATAATAGAGTATTGTTGGAGTAAATTGAAAGAGAATAATAATATAAAATACAGGGGGCTGGGGTTGTGGCTCAGTGGTAGAATGCTTGCCTAGTATGCACGAGGCACTGGTTCGATCCTCAGCTCCATATAGCTGTAAAATAAAGATAATGTGTCCACCTAGAACTACAAAATAAATATTTAAAAAAATACTTATTACAGTTCTGTAATGTACATAGTAATAATAGCTGTATTGGTTTTTGATATAGACTATAAATGACATTTTATCTTTTTTCCCTTTGAAAACTATTTATGTGGAAATGGTTATACTGTTCATTTGACATCCAAAAATATGGTACCTTCTATTATTTTTAAATGAATTATCTTCTTTTCCATAGAGAAAAGATTTTTTTCCCAGAATGTAGCTTAGTTTGTTCTCCTGCAGAGTAAATTAAGAATGCCTTTTGAATATTTTTTTCCTTTTCGTTTACTTTTCTTGGTTTTGAGAAACAGAGAACAGTTGTACTTAAATTCAAAATTGCACTTTTTTTTTTCTGCCCAGATAACCATGATGATTACAGAGACTTCTTCTGTGACTCTTGCTCCTTTTGAAGATATATTGAGTCGGATGCTCTTTGGTTGGCAGCACCAGTTTTCATTGTGTGAAAAGAAATGTGGAGCAAAATCGTCTTCCAATGGCACTGGTTCATCAGTCTCAAAACCTATAACCGATGGTTCAGATAATGTTAAAAGGAAACATTCTAAGAAGACTGAGTAAATTTACTTGAGCTCTAGAAGGCAAAAAAAATTCTTTTCTACCTATCAGATTGTGATAAATATTTCTATGTAGATGATGTGAAATAAAGATTATATATAAGGAATGGAGGTGACAAAAAGAAAGAAATTCTTTCTGTTTTAGGGTGACTACCACTTTCTTGATTGTAATTCTTGAGTGTCATGAGTATATCATGTGAATTTTTTTCTGATATAAAGTATCTTGTGATTATTTAAATAGTTTACATTGATAAAAGAAATTAAAAAAATTTGAAACTTTTAAAAAATTGGGTAATTTCATGCATTTAAAAAAATCTGAATCTATTTGAGCTTTAGTTCAGAATTAAACTTTTAAAAGTAAATAAAAGTTTAATTCCTAGGTATGGAAAATTAATTGATTAAAAAATTAAAATTCTAATTTAATTTTGAGCATTGAGGACGTTAACTTTTCCTAAAATACTTTCTATTATATATGGATATAAATTGCTAGTTTATATTTGCTATATAAACATTGTAATTTTGCCCTCGTTAAAATAGAAAATACCTGAAATTTATCTTAATTTTATCTCTAATAGTACTTTTCAGTAAGAACACAATATTGTTGTATGAATTTCAGTTTGAAGTCTGCTTCATGCCCTTGTTTAAAAAACTGTTTTTTTCCCCCTCAAAAGAAAATTAGGGAGGGGGGATGGTGGAGGATGGGAAAGGCAGCGGAGCACAACAGACACTAGTATGGCAATATGTAAATCAATGGATGTGTAACTGATGTGATTCTGCAATCTGTGTATGGGGTGAAGGTGGGAGTTCATAACCCACTTGAATCAAAGTGTGGAATATGATATGTCAAGAAATTTGTAATGTTTTGAACAACCAACAATAAAAAATTAAAAAAAAGAAAAGAAAAAGAAAATTAGGGGTACAATTTTTGATAAATTACTTTTCAGTTTTCCAAGATTACAAAACATGGAATTTTCTTTTTTTTTCCTTCCCTCTTTCTCTCTCCTTAAAACACATTTATTTCAACTGTAGAGAAAATTTTCACATTTCACATGTTCTCCCTGACTTTGGTTGTTCTGAATACATTGGTAGCAGTTGTCTTAATGATTCAACACAAAGTATTATCTCCATTAAATTTGTTTCTTCCATATCTCCTTTCTAGTGGCTACTTTCTCAGTTTTTTGTTTGAATGTTTCATGTTAGATTAAATATGGTTATATTTAGTTTTAATCTATGTGTACATGCATTATTTATTTTGTTTTAAATGAAAACCAATTACCTTCATGTGAAAATGCTCAGCTCTGAAGAGAATTGTCTGTACACATTTGATAGTAATCAGCTAGGAAACAGATCAACCGAAATCTCATGGTTGTCTTATTTGATTGAAGAATGATGACATTAAATCTGGTTTCTTATTGGCAAAATAAACCAGAAAAGTACTAAATGATATTAGAGTTTCTTTATTTTATGATTTAAAAGTACAGTTCTAACATTCAAACTCTGTGACATGATTTCTTATACCAAGACCATGAACATACTACCTGTATCAGGTAGAACTTTTAGATGGCTTAGAAGTACTCAAATCATTCAAGTTGAAAGTTCTTTTTAACAACTGTGAACACCAGCGGGTACCATATAGCTTATGAAAAATGATTTTCTTTTTGGCACATGGAGCACTTTTGATACTCTTAGAATGCTAAGAATGCTAAGAAACTTGTTTTTAATATTATAACAGCCTTAAAATGAATTCTGTGTTATATTTGATATTCTTATAGTTGAAAACTTTTCAAAATTAACTTGTTATTAATTATTTGTCAGTTTTGAAGTTTGGATTTAACGTAGTTAAACACTTGTTTTACACTTGTATTAAAAGACAAATTCATTAAAATAAGTTATTCAACACCAATGGAGTATTAGATTATTATTGTTTTTTTTTCCTTTTATACTTTTCTTGGAGGAGTGCAGAATTCCTCTGTTGTTTTGACTGATATAGTATATATTCAGTAACTACTGTTTAAATGTGACATTGATATAAACTTTAGTAATCTATAACAAGTATCCTATAACCCTCAGTTCAAGGTTCATAGGGGTAAAAGCTGTATTGGAGAATATAGTCAGCCCTGAAACTGCCCACTCTGAATCTGCTTATGCTTCCTGCAGAGACTTGGATTTGTGAACCAGGTTGTTAGACTCCATATTCAACAAGAAGCACGAATAAGGCCTGTAGACATGCCTCACACAGCCTAGCCAAATCAGAGGTGGCACTGAAGATGTCAAGACCTGGTTAGGTATCCCTTAGTGAGAAGGAGACAGGAAACTGTCTAGAACATGGGCAGCTTAACTTAGAGATATCATTCTGTAGTAAAATGTGTCCAAATTGAATATTAAACTCTCATTTACCAGATTAGTCACTCTTCCTTGCTAAGGGAGTAGTAAGGACTGGAGAGACATGATGGGGTGAGGTGGATGAATTTCAGTGGAAATGCCAATCTCTCTGTGGGCACAGACCAAAAACTGGAGTAATGAGAGAAGAAGGGAGACCTCAATATATTTGGTCTGCTCCTTTAAAACCAAATACCTTTTCATTAAAATATGTTTCAAATCATAAGTTGATTGCAGTTGAGTGGAATGTTAGAAATGGAATAATGCCCTTCCACCCCACATGCAAATCTCCTTAGAATTTTTGCCAGGTATAATTCACGTTTTTGGTGATGTTCATTCCTGTGCTTCTTCAGCAAATATTGGATACTAGTTATGGATCAGGCATTGTCCTAGGCTCAGAATATACCACAAACAAACAAACAAACAACAACAATAATAAAACCAAGTAGAAATAGCCTACTTCTGTGGAGTTTGCTTTCCACCAATGGAAAGACAAATAAATGTGTTCTTGTGATGATGATAAAAGATTATGAATGAATATTACATAAGATGTAAAGATAGAAAGTGAGGGATGTAGAGGTATTTGTTAAAATAGGATCATTAGGCCTTTCTGTTAAAATTGCTTTTTAGCAGGTAACTGAAGGACACAAGGGAGCAAGCCACGTAGAGACATATGGGTAAGTGCAAGAGTCATACTTTTCATTTGTATACTTGATTTAGGTTCTATTTCTTAAAAAAATATTTTATTTATTTATTTATAGAGAATTTTTTAATATTTATTTTTTAGTTTTCAGTGGACCACAACATCTTTATTTTATTTTTATGTGGTGTTGAGGTTCGAACCCAGCGCCCCCGCGCATGCCAGGTGAGCGCGCTACTTGAGCCATATCCCCAGCCCCTTGAATTTATTTTTATTACTAAGTATAATGGTACTGTGTCATTTTTAACAGACATTATTCTTCCACAGAATTTATTTTTGATTTTCCAGATTTTTCTTTTGAGATAAATCTGCTTAAAAAATGCACAAATTATAAATGTCTAAGCACTGAGTTTTGACAGATGCATTCAACTGAATAACTAAACTCCTACCCAGCACTGTAGGAAGTTCTTTTCCGGTTACACCCTCCCCTATTGAAGTTAGTATAAATAAGACTTCTTTGAAAGTCAGCATAATGTTTTTGAAATTTATCTTGTTGCATTTATCAGTATAGTTCATTCCTTTTTAAATGCTTGATAGTGTTCTATATGTCTATACCACAGTTTATATGATATACATCAGAGCTGTTTGTGGCCTGGGGTATTCTAGATAACTATCATGAACATTTTTGTATAAGTCTTGATGAGCAAGTTTGTAGTTCTTTTGGACAAATACTTAGGAGAATATTTACTAGGTCATATGCTTGGTTGTATAAAAAAACTGCTGAACATTTTTTCCAAAATGGTTATACCATTTTATAGTCCACAAGAGCATGTTAATGTTCTGGTTGCTCTGCATACTTACCAAAGTCTAGTGTTGTCAAGCATTTTAATTTTATCCATTTCTGATGTATGCTTTGTGCTTTTATGGTTTTAATTTTTCATCTCCCTGATGATTAATGATGTTTTAGAGCTTTTTTGTCTGATTATTGGCCATTTGTGTATCTTCCTCTGAAGTATCTATTGAGATCTTTTACATGGGTAAAAGATTTGCCTTTTTATTATTAAGTTGGAGTTCTTTATATGCCATAACAATCCCTTGATAAATATTTTGTACACATTAGCTTTCTGGTCTGTGGCTTAACCTATTTGTTTTTGTAATGATGGATTTTAATGTGCTGATATTTTTAATTTTGAAGATGTCCCCCAGTATTTTCTTTTATAGTTATTTGCTTTCCTCTGTCTTTAGAAACCTTTGTCTGTCCCGGATTCATGAAGATATATGCATCTGAGGAACCCCAAATAAAGGATCTCCTAGAGAAACATTTAAAAGAAACACTTTGTTATTATGTAAAGCATTGATTCTGTTACTCTGAAAGTTACCCAGTCCTACTTATTGGTTCTGCTTCCTGAAAATGATTGTATAACTTATAAGTAGACACTTTTTCTGTGCATTTGCTATGGGCTGTACATCACAGGAATTCAGGACTTTTAGTGTTTTATATAGGTACTTTTTGTGAGTATGCTTGGTGTTGGTTTATCACAACCCTAGTACTTAGAAGAGACAGTAAGGATGTAACAATAGCAAATACACTCTGTATGGCATTCTGACTCCTGCACTTAAATATTAAAAATTAAATCTCCTAAATCACTGTTGTTACCATCACATTCACATTCCATGTCTGATCATTTATGTTTTCAGTTGGATATGAGTCCCCAAAACTCATACTAGCCTTCCTTATAATTGTTCAATATATATTTTGACAAATATTTTGTAATTATAAATTCATTTAAAAACAACTTTTAAGAAAGTTCCCATCTCTCCTTCTGATATTTCACCCCGTATGATTATGTATTCAGGCTTCAGATATGGTCCTGTCTCATCATGAGTATTGTTATCAGTGCTGCTCACTATGAAGGAGACTCTGGAAACTGAACTGCAGCATCTTTAAATTAAAACAATTTCAAATCCCCCTTCCAACCAGATCCCTGGATGCTAGGACAG